ATGTACCTCCACTTTTGTTTCCTGATTCTTCCCAAATACTGCTTCAAAATAAACTTCCTAATGACCTCTGGAGTAATTCTTTGTCATTTCCATATATTTAATTTGTAATAAAATTCACAACTCTTCGAGGGAGTTAACTGGATCAGTGATTGAAGAATTGATGGCTGAAAAGAGTGATAGTGAAGTTCAAAAACAATAAAAATAAACCTAAGTAGGAAAGGAGATGGGCAACACTGTGTTTTTGAAGCAGGACTAAAAAAATGGGAAGAGATAATAAGGAACTGGCTTTTCCTCTGAAATTTCTGGTTGTTTCTGGTGGTGCCTTATTTGAAATGTGCCATTGGCATCCCCAGCTTTGCTGTGACATACATTCGTGGCAGGCTACAAGCCCTATGCTAGAACTAAAAATGGGGCTGCACAAATGCATTAGCCACCTGCCCCCTTTATGGATGCAATTTGGGGGTGGCAGGTGGAGAGGGGTGGGGTGGGGGAGAAGAAAGACACGCATATTACTTGACTTCCAAATCCATCGTGTTTCTCACCATTGTGTGCAGGGAAACAAGTTGTACCGTAAAAAAAAAAAATTCTCACGAGTTCAAGAAGTTGGAATTAATTGATTGAACTCACCAGGGTTCTTTTACGGTACAACTTGTTTCCCTGTGTAGGAAGTTAGCACCCACCCCTTTCCTGGAAGAGTGAAATATTTTAGGAAATATGAAAAAGGCAGAATATTATATTTCCCTGTATGAGAAATATGAGAAGCATATTTTACAGACAAAGCAGCTCCCACCTTCCTGCCCCCCACCCTTTGTCAATGGGCCATTAAGGCCTGGGCCAGTCTATTCTACATAACAAAGATCTGCCTCCTTCAAGCAGAGCCATAGTAGGAATTGCCAAAGATAGGATTAGCCCTCTACACAATAGCAGCAGAAACTCACCACATGTGACCTGGGAAGCACATGTGACCATCAGCCAGCAAGGCCCCCACCCCCTGGGAGTCTGACAACCAATCAGGATACTCTTTCGGGGCCCCAAGAAATGCAGAGCCAGAGAGAGCATAAAAACCCGAGGATTTACTGTATCTGCCCCTTTTCTGTTCAGGAACTCAAGCCATGTGATCCTATCCACCATTAAACCATCTTTCCAAGCAGTCTCCATGTTTCCAGTGTCTGTTTTCCCCACTTGGAGCAGAACCTAGAAGGATGTTTCTTCCAACACCTGCACACAATAGCGAGAAATGCAACGGAGCTGGAAGTCAGGTAAGATACACATCTTGCTTCTCCCCTGCCCCACCTGCCACCCCCACCTGCCACTCCCCTTTGCCGGCTGAGATCAGACCAGATTCAGTGAGTTGAATGCGCCGCCGCCGCCCAGGAGGAGAAGAACGTGAAAAATGGGCTCTCTCACAGTGCCTCTTCTCTCTCTTTTCCTCCCGAGTGGTGGTGATGCATCCAGCTCACCGAATCTGGTCTGCTGATCTAGGTTGGCAGTGGCTCTGACCCAATCCTGGCCAGCAATGCTGTGGGCAAGAACCAGCCATGCTGATCCCACTTCATGGTTGTGCAGACAGAGCCCGCATCAGCTACTGCTCGAAGCGGTGTCCCCCTCCCTCTAGTTCCAGGTTGACAGGGCTAGGGCTGGCAAGAGAGCGGTGCGCCTTACACGTCGCTGGGCCTGCCACTGTTTTTGCGTCCGCCACTAAGAGTAGGGTGCGGGAGCTAGGGTTTGCGGGAGCAGCCTCCTTGAGGCTGTTCCACGTGGATGGCAGGGGCATGTTCCTTTCCCCCGCCTCAGCTCCTCACCTTGTGCTGTTTGCATGGGAAGCAATGAGGAGGCCCAACGACACGTGGGGCGCGTCTCTGGACCTACTGCTGCAAAAGTGGCCACAGTTGTTGGAGGTGGCAGCCTGAGCGGCACCGTCGAAACAGCTGCTTTGTGAACAGTGGGATGGCGTGCTCTGACCATCGCACCATTACCGGTAGGTAAGGAGGGAGGTGCGAGGCGCATCGCTGGGCCTGCTGCTCTTTTTGCGGCCGCCACTAAGAGAAGGGGTCCTATATCCTCCCAAAATGGACATATTTATTTTATACAGCACCAACTAGATTAGACAACAATTTCTTTAAAAAGCTAAATCAATGTGTCCTTAAATTTATCTGGCAAAATAAAAAGCCCAGAATTAAACTTAAAATGCTTCAAGAGGTAAAAGAAAGAGGGGGATTTGGCTTACCAAAATGGGAATATTATTATCAGACTGCAAATTCAGTTTGGATAAGGGAATGGATCCTGCTGAGAAGAAGATGGTTGTTGATTCTGGAAGGTTCGGGATTAAAACAGGGTTGGCATTATTTTCTTTGGCAAGATAAGGTTAAAAAATATATGAGCTTTGCAGGCCATTATGTAAGGAATATCTTAATTGAAACAAGGGTAAATTCTACTCCTTGACCCCGTCTTGGTTGGTCCCACTAGAAGCTATAACATATAGCTCACTTTATAATAAAGAAAAACACCTATTTTACCGGGAGCTGTTGGATGCCCAAGGCCGTTTAAAAACAAGAACTGAGTTAGACCTTCAGGGAATAGAATTGGACTGGTGGTCTTATGCCCAGATCAGCTCTAAACATAAGAAAGACAAGGAACAAGGTGGCAGATATGACCCAGCAAGAAACAGACAATATTATATTAGGAAAGGAGGAAAGAATGTTATCCAAGATTTATAAACTCTTAATAAATTACTGGATAGGGGATGAGATTGTTAAAGATTCAATGATTGCCTGGGGGAGAAATATTGGTTACTCAATTGAGTTGGTAAATGGGAAGAAATATGGATGAAACAATTGAAACTCCTGATGGCAACCACTTATAAAGAAAACTTGTATAAGATGGTGTATAGATGGCATCTCCCTCCTGCCCGACTATCCAAAATGTTTCCAGGACTCTCTCCAAACTGTTGGAAATGTGGGGAGATAGGTACTTATTTTCACGTATGGTGGACCTGCCCCAAGGTAATTGAGTTTTGGAGACTTATACAGGGATGGATATTAGAAATCACTGGATATAAATTACAATTGAAACCAGAATACTATCTATTAAATATCAGGCCAGATAAGATAGGCACGAATATATGGTGTCTGATTGTATATATCACAACTGCAGCAAGAATATGTTTTGCTCAATATTGGAAGGGGAAAGACCTACTGGCTGAAGATTTGATTTTGGGAAAAATTATTGAATATGCGGAAGCTGATAGGTTAACAAAAATTTTGAGAGATCAAAAGGACTCCGCATATTTTCAATGCTGGGACCAATGGTATGCTTGGTTGAATAACAGAATAAAAAGAAGATAATTTTATATCTTATTTGTATATTTTGTCTGAAGTTAATATATTGTGTAAAGCTCCCATCGCGATCTGTATGTGAATAAATACTTTGTTTGTAAAGAAATAAATAAAAAAAAGAGAAGGGGTGCGGTAGCTAGGGTTTGTGGGAGCAGCCTCCATAAGGCCGTTCCGTGTGGATGGCAGGTGTATGCGGGGCACATGGGGCATGTTCCACCCCCCCCCCCCCGAGGAAATGGCGGGGACTAGCTACGCAGGTGCTTCAAAGGCCTTATTTTTGGGGGAGGGCTTATTTCAGCACATGCACTCAAGGCCAATTGGGCATATTATCTGGAAAGGTCTTCGTTTCGGGGAAACACAGTACAAGTTGTCTGCAGTGTTCAGATTTAAAAAAGATTTGTACAATAAGTGTGCTAGAATAAAATATTAAAAAGTCTAACAAATTCTATTTCAGTTTTATCATTTGTGCTCCAAAAAAAGAATCTACAAAAGCACATCAGTGATGTAGAGAAAATTCATTTACCTCACCACAAACAAAACCATTTTTTTTCAAAAACAGTAAGAAAATGCATCTATGCAGTTGCATGTGTGGCTGAGTGGGTATCTATAGTGAGTAGCCAGTATAAAAGGTTCCTCAACATTCACCCACTCGTTGCCCTTTCTTTTAAATGAAAATAGAATGATTGAAAAATCTTTTTTATCTCTTATTGAAGAGATAGTAAATGTATATGAAACAACTCATTCTGAATTTCAGCGAAAGATATAAAGATACATGGATTGATTTAGCTTGGTATTACAGAAAAAATAAATAGAGCCTTAGCTTGTATGCTACTTAAAGAACTTCACTTAACATTAGTCAATTTTAAATTTCCTGCTTTGAATTTTGTATGTGCTGTTACTGTCTATATACTTCTACACTACAGCTGAGTTCTTGGTGCTTTGTGAGCTTGTTTTCTTGCAAATGCTTTATTACCAGACTAGGTAACATCGTTAGTGAGTGTGAAGTTTGCTTCCTGTTTATATATAGTAGCTTACTCTGCCAATGTTGGTAAAGGTGTGTTTTTCCCCTTGGTAGTTCCTGGATTTGAATTTTTCCTTTGAATCAAGTAATAAAATAAATAAAAAGAGAAAACATTGGTAGTGTTGCAACCAATGCTGTGAGGAATCCACAGCTACATATATTCTCTTCTATTGAATATTACAGGAGGATTAATGTGGATGGATGTAAATAATTTTTATATTCATGATAAATTTGAAACAGGATCCCAAAGTCTAGTTCGGCTGTCAGCAACACACAGCTGAAAAAGTGATCACATGACCCTGGTACACTGCAGCTGTCATAAATATGAATCAGTTGATAACTGTCTGAATTTTGATCACATGACCACGGGGACTGCAACAGTCATAAGAAAAGAAGTTATGCCACTTTTTATAACTTCGAACGGTCACTAGACAAATGGTTAGTAAGTCAACGACTACTGTACAGAGATGCAGTTCTATCCTTAGTTCTAGACATATTATAAAGGTTAAGGTTCACTTTGAGAACATTCTTCTTAGTATCATTAAGTGTTGCAAATGAAGAAGGTAAATTACATGATTGATTGTATTTTCTCTTCATAAAAATAATATAGAAAAGGCCCCAGCATATATTTAAAAAGAGCCACATTGGTTGTGGAGGATTTTATTTTACAACTTTTATACACAGTTACAGACCATTAGAATTTTCTCCTCCAACCCTTATACATTTCAGCCTGGCAAATGTCCCAAATATTTCATCAAACCTGGGAAGTCAATAGTGCCAAGGGAAGACAAATTTATTATTCAGCTAGCTGATCATGATTGCAGTTTCTACTGATTGGTTTGACACCTAAGGTATATTCCAGGATGAGCAGACTTGAGCTATTGGCTTGACACCATCAGCTGCTGTTGTTGGCTTCCCACTTCCCAGTGATTTAAAACAACGGCCATGTGTTGTACTTCATACTACTGAATCAATATCTATGTTCTGATTGTTTTACAGACTGAGAGCTGAAAACTAACCCTGCCAGTTAGTTAGTTATCACATACAATTTAAGTGAATACTTGTAAGTTTAAGAATACTAAGTTTTCAAATTGAATTTTCCAAGGAAATACAGCTGCCTCACACAATATCATTCACATAGAATGCAAGGTATATTATCCTCAACAGAAAGGAAGAGTAAACACTTTTATTTCAGCTTGGATTTTGCACAGATGGCAGTGGCAATTTGTTGTGTTATGAACCTTTTCATGAAATAGACTTAAATCTTTTTTACATATTTCAAAGAGAAAAAAAATCCCAATTCATCATTGCTTTGTAGGAAATAACAGTTAAAAGACATGAAAGTGAAATAAAAATCAAAATGGCATCTTACTGTCACAGGGATAGTTGCTTAAAGCTACATACAATATATATTCAACCTTATAACAATTTTTAAAAATTTAATAAAAGGTTTTTGCAATTTTTAAAAGTAAGATAAATGGGAATGCAAGATACTGGATTCTTCTAATTCTTGCCTCATACGATTTGCTTTCCTGCTCTAAACAAACAGCAGACTAAGAGACAAAAGGAAAAATGGAGCAAAGATGGCAAACAATAGGCCTCATAGCAAAGTCTCTAACTGCATAATGTCTCTGTAGCAGTGGTGGGTTGCCCCTGGTTCGGACCGGTTCACAAGAACCAGTAGTAAAACCAGCGGGAGGCTCTGCCCACTGACCCGGACGTCATTATAGGTGATCTGTGCATGTGCCGAAGAACGCACAGGCTCATTGGAAACCGGTAGTAAAGGTAAGTAGAACCCACCCCTGCTCTAGGTGTTCATCAACTCATGTAGTAGGAAGGTTGAGAATGGAGAGGAATGTATTATGGAAACTATATTATTCACTAAAAAAAGCCAAAAGCAAATATTTCCCAGGTTACAATTGCCAGGCACCCAACTTCATCTTTGGCTATAACACAAACTTAAATTAGGCTAATACTGATTCCATTGCCACAATATATGCCATCTGTAAAAGACAATCTGATCTCAAAATATAATGAGTTTTTGCACTCTCCATAGCTACAGAATTGGAGCCTACGAAGAGTATCTTAACATAAGCCCTAGAGCTATATTTTGACAGTGACTTTAAAGGAGCATTTTGGGCCTTGCACAACAAAACTAGCAGCTGTGTTATTTATTAAATTCATTTTTCCAGGCTTCCAAAATATGCCACTGCTTTACAGATTCCATTCATTAAAATTAACACACCTTTTTAAGTAGCATCCTGAAAAAGAACTGGCTACTTTAATGAGTATCAGGTGATTCTGTGCAAACAAGGACCAAACCCCTTCTTTCAAAAATGTTCTGAAGCATATGTAGCCTTAGTAAGCACCACTTTCAACAGAAAGAATATGGAAGTTTTATGTTCAATTCCCAAGATCTGCAAATTATCTCATTATCCACTCTACCATTTAATGTTGAGAGTGGATATGTGAAACAAGGCAACCCTCAGAATTACATATGTATTGTAGCAATACTTGTTATGGAGGTTTGACAGTTTCATCTCTTAGAGTACCTCCTGTTTTTTCCCTTGGGGGAAGATGGAAGAAGTACCAGATGATAGCAGCATTAACAAACCATATATTCCCAAGAGATTACACATTCACCATGCCATGCTTGTATCTGCAAAGCAAGAGATACAGCTACTGAAGCTCCTCCCTAAATGTTGTATCATTTCAAAGAATGAGTAGAGATTAAGAAGAGGGTTATATAAGTTAGGTACGGAAGACCACATAGGAGAAAATGTGCTTTATAGTTTCTTGAATACAATTGGATCAAACTGGTTAAATATATAATATGCCATCTCCTTTAAATATAAACAGCATAATATATATTTTTCACTTAAAACTATTTTGCGTTCCTCCAGTAGTGTCATTTCTTCTAATTGCCTGTGCCCAATAGTTTATAGACAAAACCTTCAGGAAGTATCCATACATTTGCCAGCTAGCCAATAATTTGAAGCTCAAGCACTAATGATATGCAGTATTCAGAATTGAAGAGGGCAAAGGTGCTTCAAATTCAAAATCTCTGACCATCAATAACAAGTATAGCATATTTGCTCTCTTCAGTTTTGCATATAGTCACCCCTTATCTACTCTTTGTTATAATTTTAAGGCACAACATTTTTGAAGTGTCATAGCACTTATTCAAGAATTTTTATTTCAAGTGTCCTCATCTGTGCCTTAGTGATATTTCCTAATTTCTCAAACAATTAACACATGGACAAATAATTTCAAAAGAAGTGAATATGAAATTTCTCTTCTTACATTCCTCTGCATCAATTACCAATCTGCTACCAGTTTTTCAAACGAGTGTATTGAGGATCTTGTATGTGCTTGTGTAGTGAAGGACTCCAAAGCAGCAAGTCCTAGACAATATGCACTCAGTTTTCAAAATATGGGGTCATCATCTCTCTGAGTGTCACATAAATTAAAGCAGCATGCTATTTTTTTTAAAAAAAACCCCTCCTCTAGACAGTATACAGTCAATGTACAGAATTCACAAATATATATCCTGCTACGAATAGTTTTCTTGAAGTTTTTCTGTCAAGAACTTTCAGAATAAAAAGGGGGGAAATAGTCACCAATCAATAGGAACAAACCTTATTATATTTTGGGGGTTCTTAAAATTGTTAGTGACAATTCTACACTTTTGAAATAGGAGGTAAGAATTTTCACTGCAGCAAAGTATTAAGTATTACAGGAAATAGAGCATATGTTGGGACTCCAGCAGCGGATACATCAACAAGAACATTATGGCAAATTGAGCAGATCTTCAAAGTTGCTTCTTCCTTCAATTCCTTGAGTGTAGTGGAACTAGACCAGTAGCACCAAGAAACCTAAAGCCCCCCACTCCTATTTAATAACAGTAAAAATGCAGAGGCAGACTTGCAAAATAACCAGGGCAAGATGTGCATAGGTCACTCAGAAGACAAATTATCATGGCAAGTAGTTCTAACACTAACTCATACTTAAGGCAGCGATTACATTTGCAGCAGAAGTTCTGGTTCTGAAAGTGAACAGTACAGAGTATAGCCTAACTCATCTACTTCTTCAGTAGTAAGCTCTGAAAACAAGTTCACCTTGGGATTTAAAGCACTCGGAAGAATTCCTTCTTCCAAATAGCCAATCAGTTTTCTCAATGCCTGAAGAAAACGGTCAGCTATTGCATCTTGTGACCAATCAGTTTCTTCTTGAGTCAGGTGTAATATTACATTGGTAAGCTGGCTGGCAGAAAGACGACGCAGAACTGGGTTCAGTTTACATATGGCCTTGAGGATCTTAAGGCACAAAGAACGGCAACCAGAGTCATCTTGGTCCAAGGCCCGCAGGCGAGCTGTTTCTGCTGGCCGAAGGCTGAGTCGCCATAGATTATCATATTGGGCCAGTCGATGTGGCTTGGTTACCAATACAGAATCACCTAGTGTCACAGATGGTAAAAAGTCTATCAGAAGGTGCCGATCCCGTTCATACTGCACCTCCAAAGTTAGAGATTCTAAGGGTGCGACTGGACGAATCACATAATCTAAGAGGGATCCAATTGCTGGCCAATTGATAGAGCCAGCCACTACTTTCTCAAAGGTACCACAAACAGACTTAGGTGAGAGATAACCTCCCACTACACAGCGGTCCCAATAACTGCTACCACGAGGAAAATACTCTGGGTTTTCCCGACGTACTAGGCAGAAGCCAGGGATGTTCATAATGGTTTCTTCACCCGGAATGCATGACCATAAATTCTGTTCTAGCACAAGAGGAACAATAAGTTGAATGTGATCAGCTGTCACAACCTAGCAGCAGAGAGAAATAAAAGAGAGCATTAAACATCGGAGGACTGGTCCTATCAACTAGCTTACTTGCCTCCCTCCAAATGTTTGCATTTGAATTCTCATAATTAAAGAGTATAATCCAACTAATGTGGCCACCAAGTTGGGAAAAGCTAGGCCAGAAGGAAGGCTGGGAATACTAAGAACACTTCAGTTGCAGTATCAGTGATGTTCAATACAGTATCCTCTTTAGCTATACTAAAGTCATAGAGGCAGCTACAGCAAACTTACAAAATAAATAGGTATTATTTTGAATGACAATAGAAAAGTAGCACATATGGACACCATATGCTAGTCTAAAAATAATATGCTATACTGTAGTTAAACAATTTGAAAATATATTTTGCTGAACAGATGTAGAAAAGACACAGAATACAAAAATGTGGATATTGGCCCCAAAAGGGGCTCTTTTTCTTACACAAGATCAGGTTAGACACACACAAAAATCAAGAGATAACCCTAAGAATATGATAGTGGGATAAATTATCTCTACCAACATTATTCTTGCTGAAGAACATTTAAAACTTTTCATCCATTCAATTTACCTGTAAGTCATCACAGAGGCTACCACTCAGATACATCTCGCGCAGAGGCATGTCTGGCAACTTGGTACGGAGGAAACTGCGTAATTCAGCACAGATATCCACAGCAGCTTGCTTGGCTTTGATTTGTTCTTCTACAGAGATAGCCACCTTTCTCCGATAATAAGCAAACAGTTTTTCTTGCAAGGACATCCGAAGGCGGGATTTTTTCAATTCCACCTGGCTTCTTTTAGCAGGTGATTTATGCTTCATAGATTTGATGGAATCTGTTTGAGTAATACAACAGAGAAAAACTCAAAAAGAGCCAAATATTTCACTGCAAACTGCTTGTGTAAATTGCCTGCACTGAAATTATTCTGTTCTGAACATGTATTTTTTAACAAAACAAAATAGCCTTAGCATAAGGTTTAAGGGAGAAAGTATAAATCCATGGGACAATCCAGAAGCAGACATCTTTTGTTATTAAAAAAAAAATTAAATGAGACAAACTACAAAGCCATGCTAATACATTAAATATAGCATAAAGTCAGTTCAATGTGCATATTCTTTCTTTAGACTATTTCTCACCTATTTCAAAATCTGAAGCATCTGTGGGCAGAGTCTGCAGAGAACGGCTAAGATTTGTCTTCATGTCTTGGTTCAGTAATCGTGATGATGACCCAAGCCAGCTTGGTTCCTCCCAGCTTCTCTTTCCTGACTGGCTTAAATGGGTGGGGCTGGCTGGAGCACTGATTGCTCTGTCATACATCTGCAGAGAGTGAAAGTAGAATATTGATTATATGACCTAATAAGACTTAATTTCTCTATTCCCTACTGAATTTTTTCCAACCTCAATAAATCTTGATATTCCTTTACCAACTATATTATTTCTTTTTAACTTGTATTTTGTATTTTAAATGTTATGTCATATAGTATGTCTTATTTTAATTGTGATGCTTCTGACAGAAATAAACATTTCTTACCCGTTTGACAGCCAAGGTAGCAATCCCCAGCATAGCAGCACCTCCCACTCCCAGTACAAGTCGAGCATTGGACAACACAAAATCAATAGCCGTGCCAATCCCATTGTCATCCTTCTTTCCTTTGCGCTCTCCAGCGCCTGCCATTGCTCCTACATAGGAAAAAAACCCAAACAGCATACTGTTCAAAATGTTAGATTGCCATTCAGTGCTTATTTGGTTTTAATTCCATGGACTTTTACTAAGATTATATATTTGAAGCTAAATTTATTTTAAATATATCACCTTAAAACATGTTTTGTAATTCCAATTGTAAAAACCATAATCACAATGCTATTTAATACAATATAAATCAGTAACTAAAACCAAACTCTAATACTAAAAATTTCACTTTCCATAAAATTAAAATGCAAACTCTATATAGAAAAATATAGAAAAGGCCAAATTGGGGGCGTGGTACAAATCCATATATAAGGTTATAGTCCAAGAATGGTCTCCAATTAGAACTGAATTTTATATCAGGTTTGCTTTTTAAATATGAAATTATTCTAAACATTAAAGCAACTTCCTCAATTTAATTAGTCATTCTTCCAAAGAAGCAATCTAAGAAGGAAGCATATAAGATCATTGCAGTCATTAATATATTCAAAGGTTGTTCACTATAAACAACCAGTTTTAACCTGAGACCTTCCCAAAATGTTCAGCCAAAACAACCACCTTTGGAAAATACCAGGCTGGGTAAGGTTGACTTGAAGTGAGATTTGTTCAAGACCAAGCACTAAAACTCACATTAGTTAATATCTGACATGTGAATAAGACCCTCTTTCACATTAATAAATTTAAGAGCTATTATGAATAGAATTCCCCAGTAGCAAAGACTAATTTTAAAAAAAGGATTTCATGGTGAAAGGGAATTTCTGAAAAAGGAGTGGCTAAAACATAATTGCAAACACTGTCAAGGAGGAAAAAATGTAGATGCAGAAGTTATACTTGCACAAAAAAGTTTGTGAAGATCTGAGAAAAAAATAATACATTTAGATGAAACACACACACACAGGTAGACTAGAACTGTAGAATTATGAAACGATATTTCAATGGATGCCCCTTGCACAAACTGATTTCCAGAATTTAAGGGGAGTCAAAGTAAGAGTTGCCAGTACAGAAATAAAATTTGGATATAAATTTCTCCATCCTCTGTAGTGTAAACATTAATTTTATAGTTATTATTAGCATACATAGTACATTCTTCATGCCAATTTCAAGCATGCTAGAATTTTTTTATTACTATAAATAAAAATTAACTTCCAATTACTCAGATTAGTACTCAGTATTCTAATTACTCAGGCTAGCTTTTTATCTGAATAATGAATAATTAAAATAGCAAACTACATTCTCTCTATATATTTTACCTGAGGCTTAATGCATCTGCAAAAAGAAAGGAGAAATGCTCCCAGGGATATATGTAGGATACTTTGGGAGATTTGTTTTTTACAGATTTGCAGCAAACTTCTGATATTGAAGTCCAGTTCAAATTACTAAATAAATAAAGGGAAATAAAAGCAAAGAAATATATGACAAGAAAATTTTTTTTTTCTAAATAAGGCCTCCAAGTTGGCTGTGCAAAAAAGCCTGGCCCTTTTTAAGATGTCGCTCTTTATCTTCTGGGGACGTAAGGTGCTGGTTCTTGCGAAATTCTTTCCGGATCGAGCTGAGATAGAAATCACGATCAGTGTAGCGCAAGCCACGTCCCTGACGCAACAGGGCACGATAAAGATTTAGCACAGCTTCACGGCTCCACGTTGCCATGGAGGACGAGTTGAAGAACAGTGAACTAAAGACACACAAAACAGAGAAAATGAAGTAATCTCTTTTTTTTAAAGAATTTATACTTAAGTTATTTCATTAATTCTAAAAGAATGAATAAAATAAATCTAGTCATCAAAATAAATCCAGTAATTCATAGCACTAGTACTATTACTAGCACAGTAGTAACTAATAAAGAAAATATGTGGTCATTACAAAATATTACCTTCATGTACACAAATGGGAGATTAATTTTATACATGACCAACAGTACAATCTGCAATGCTTTCATTTCAAACCCACAAGGATCTTTCGTTCACCAGTTTAGCTTTTACCTATTTAATAGGTAAACACTTGACCTATTTAGCTTTTACCTAGTTAATAGGAAACACTTGACTTCAAGTGGTGAAGTCAAGTGTTTCAAGTCTCTATATGCGTCCCAATTCCTTCCTCAGATATCACAACTTCTCAAGCTTGTGGTGTGTTGCATTTGACTGCTCAACATTTTGGAATCTGGGCAGAATCCTATTTTGTTTCATTGACTTGCTCCCCAAAGTTTTTTTTTTATTTTTTTACACCTGTGTTATGCGTAGTAATTTAGCAATCATAGAGGAAGGGCCATCCTCAATTAGAGAAGTATCTAGGCTCGACTTAAACCTCCCCACAACGGTAAGGAAATAAGATGCCTCTTTGTAAAAATATACGGACATGTTTCCCACAAAGTCGGTTATGAACTCCTCAAGCGAGACTCCGAACACGAGCAATATGACAAAGCATCCTGTGGTAGAAATCTCCTTCCATAGGAGGAGGAGGAGGAGCAGGGAGGGCGCTCAAGAAAAAGAGGCGCAGGTGCCTCATAAAGAAGCTGAAAGGCCATCAGGGGAATCTAGAAAGAGAGCAAACATTCCCTCCTTCACCAATACCCTCTTCACTACTCCGAACAGGGTCTCACGCACGGGGGAAACCTAAGGAGGGCCGCGGAGGGGCGAGTGGAAGGATTTCGGAGGCGCTGCGACTCACCCGTGAGAGGGCGGGAAATCCGTCAAATCGGCGTCGGCAATAAAAGAAACGGACTCGGCTTTCGATCCCTCCGAGCGAATCCGCCGCGCTTCAGAGCTCTCAACCCCGCCTCTTCCCGTAACCGGCAGAGTTCCCAGGGTCAAGCAACAATATGGCCACTTTGCTTCCGGGGCATGGGTCTTTTTACCATAGAAATCTTGCCTTCCGAAGGGAAGGAACGGTTCCGCAAAAAAAAAGTCTCCGCGGCTACTCCGTCGATGTGCGAGAAGCGGGAGGCGGTGTGTGGGTGGTGTGCAATTGGGACGGGAGGGAGGTGGGGGGAATGCCTCAGACCTCTGGAAGAATGTCCGTTTCAGATGACCGGGTCAAGGAGGCAAAAACCCGGGCGAAGGGTTGCGTTTTTCTGTCTTTGCTGCAGTCTAGCGCAGGGGCCTCCAACCTTGGCAACTTTAAAAAGACTTGTGGATTTCAACTCCCAGAGTTCCTCAGCCAGCAAGGAACTCTTGGCTGAGGAATTCTGGGAGTTGAAGTCCACAAGTCTTAAAGTTGCCAAGCTTGGAGGCCCCTGGTCTAGCGGTCGTCCGGATAGTTCGAAATTTCACTCAACTTCTCCCTCGAGAGGCGTAAAAAGTACAACCGCCCGCATTCCCAGCTGCCCGACCAGGGTTTTCTACCTTACAAAGTTGACTTTGCATCGCCTTCTTGGAATTCCCATTTTTGAACGCCCCAAACCCAGACATTACTCAAATAATAACAAGGATTTCCTTCTTTGATGCCATGGCTTGGGGTCGTCTGGAGTTTTCCAAGTCAAATGGACTTTCCCAGGTTTACTGTTGGTTCGTCCGGTTTAATGTTTGTTGTCACACAGGACAAAAAAACATAGATCTGATGGAATTAAGCTGCAGAGGAATAAAAACAAGGTGAACATTACGATGAATTTCTTAGGAATGTTTCTATTGATTTGTAATTGGAGCCAATTATCTGCTTTAGTAGGTTCAGTATATAAAAAAATATTGTAGGTCTGGATTTATTTTATTCGGTAAAAAGTGGATTCAGTGGTCTACATTAGCAGTTCTCAAATATTTTGGTCTCTGCAGCTAAAGTCCATCAGGTCACCTTTACATTCTTAAAAACATTTGAGGACTCCAGACAGCTTTTGCTTCTGTGGGATATATCTGTTGATATTTTATTTAATAATTTAAAACAGACATTTTAGAACATTTATTAGTCTTCACTGACCCCATGAAAGGGTCTTGGGGACCCCCAGAACCACTGGCCTATGGGATTCTTTTCTAATTCTTGACAATTGCATTTTAGCTATGTAAGCTCAGCCTCTGCAAACTGAGAAACATTGGAATTGGCCAAAAGTTTCTTTTTCTTCACAATTTAAGCAGTAATCAAATAGATTCTGAATCCAACTTGTCTGGGAGTAACTCAGTAAAATCTAAAAATTTTTACTACCGGTTCTGTGGGTGTGGCTTGGTGGGTGTGGCAGGAGAAGGATGCTGCAAAATCTCCATTCCCTCCCCATTCTTGGGGGAAGGATATTGCAAAATCTCCATTCCCACCCCACTCTGGAGCCAGCCAGAGGTGGTATTTGCTGGTTCTCCGAACTACTCAAAATTTCTGCTGCCAGTTCTCCAAACTGCTCAAAATTTCTCCTACGGTTCTCCAGAACCTGTCAGAACCTGCTGGATTTCACCCCTGGAGTAACTCCTTTGAATTCACTGCCTATAGGACTGAATTGTCAGCCATGTACCTAATACCTGCAATCTGACATAACTATACTCACACTATGAAGTGTAAATGTTACCAGGAAATTCGTTAGGGTGTTCAGTATTAGTAATACCGGTACATATTCAACCTTTGAGAAAACTAGTCAGCACAAAAAGTCAACAAGGAAGTCTTATTTCTTTTTATAATAATCATCAATAAGTTGAATGTTGGGAGAGCATACGCATAGGAATTAGAAGAAAGAATGTTTATAGATCAAAAATTTGTATTGGAATGAAACTCAAGTTTGCTTTGTAGAGAGTCAGTAGGAGGATTTCTGAGGTACACATGAAGCACTTTTTTTTTGCTGGTGGTAGATTAGGGAGTTTACTTGAATCAAATCAACAGCGCCACCTTTTGGCTGATTTGTGGACAAAACATTTTCAGAACAAATTAAGAGAACATAAACATGCAGTGGAAAGAGGCATGTACTCCACTTGCTTTTTGGTGCAGAAACTGACAAAATATTAAGGATATCTTACAACATTGGGAATATAGGATTTTATAGAACTAGACCTTCCCTGGTACTAAGAAGGAAAGATTTTCCCATTTAGTTTTACTCCTTGTGGAAATGACAAAGACTTTAATTGAGCATACTTTAATTCTATTCTCATTAGGACTAAAATGCAGCAAAAGTAGGATATATAGTTTTTTCTTTCCTAAATTAAGAATGTGAACTTCTTTCTGAAAATGTCCATCATGTGAATTTTATTTAAATAGAGTGCAACACATTCCTTCCCAAGATGTCTCTGCATAAGGGGTGCTGGACATTAAACAGACGCAGAAGGCACCAGAGTGAGAAATGATGCCAAGGCCTAGAAAATTGCTTACTTTTACTAGAGAACATACCTATGGAAAATTTTGAACAGCTTCCAAATCTATAAATATGAAAACCTTCTGTGGGGCAGAATTTTTGTAAAGACCAACCAAAATGTCAGAAAAGAGAGTATAAGCTTCATAGACCACCAGAATTCTGTTCGTGTTATCCTCAAAAGGGGAAGGGAAATAGGGAACAAACTTAGCAAACTTTAACCAGAGTTTGCGGCCAGGTGTTCTAAAGTTCAAAGACAGTTTCAAAACTCTAAAATGAATTCATTAGTAAAAGAGACAAAGAATAAGACAGTGTCTTATAAATGTATGCTGGGTTAAAAGTACTCAAAAATATGGAAGATGAATACTCGTGCTATTTTAGGTAATCTTAAAGCAGGAATAGGCACTTTCTCATTGAGTGACATGCCAGAGATCTTACTGAAAGAAATAGTTTGGACTAGAACAAAATTGCATGTTATTTAATTTGTGTAAATTTATCTAAAACTATTAAATACAGTTAATATTAAACTTTGTGCATTTGATAATTTACAAGCATCAATTTTGTTGCAATTTTTGGAGGGTCTCCGTCACTGGTGGGATTCAAATAATTTAATTATCGGTTCTCTGCCTTAATGACTGGCTGGGTAGGCGTGGCTGGGTGGTCATGTGACTGGGTGGGTGTGGCCAACTTGATGTCACTCATCACACCCAGCCTTGATTCCCAGCCACTCGCCTCAAAGGCAGAGGTGGGATTCAGCCAGTTTGGACCAATTCAGGCTAATCCCATCACTGGCTGGCCCCGCCCCTGCTCATTTTTTGGCCCATTTTGAAGTCCACAAGTCTTAAAATTGCCATGGTTGGATACCTCTGAGCTAGATGTTCTGGTAGATGAGTGTTTTTCAAATTTGGCAACTTTTAAGATGTGTAGACTTCAAGTTCCAGAATGCTGTCCCGGCAATTCTAGAAGTCCACACATTTTAGGATTGCAAGTTTGAAAAACCTGTCAAAAATGGACAAATTAAGATCCTTTTTAGGGATCTCTCCTTTTAAAAAAATATATTACAGATTATCCTGAGCAGCATATCTATGAAGGAAAACTCTAATAGAAACATGCTTTATGCATAAAAATATAGAAAGGCATCTAAGGATCACTAATCTCCCTACCTTCATGGACCATAATTTATGAGAAGTTTGCAATGATCTCAACAAATGTTTTCCTCAGCTCTGCTTTGCCTGAATATGCAATATCTATGCTCTGTCATTGAGCTGTGATCATTCTGGTCCTAAAAATAGACACAAAGTTCTTCCAATCATAAAACTATCCTCCTCTGTCTTTAATTATATTCTGGAATAGTCAGATAATGAGGAAAAGCTGAGCAGGAGAGATACATGGACAGACATTATTATTGATCTGATTTATCCTAGAACTGTTATCATTGGAAAAAAGGGATTTTTACACTGATACTTAAGATTCCTTCCCTACCCCACCTCATTACTGATGTATTGATATGAGGGAAAGGTCCAAGTGGGTGGAAGGATTTTTGATCCTCTTTCAAGCTTATTTTCTCAGAATTGGTTCTAAAACTGGACATAAAGTTTATTAGTACAGAAATTGTAATTGGAACAGAAGGAAGCAGGGGACTTTAGGAAGACAACATTATGGCAATTTAAGTTTCTGATGAAATTTTCTTGTTTTCCTTATTTTCATATCTTGGCTTTAAATCAACCCAAAGACATTACATTTGTTCAACATAATCTATATATGGGGTATGAGAAAAAATGATATATTTTTTTCACAAAGTTTTGCTATAGTCCAGGTGTTACTGTCCTTATAGTGCAATTTTATACTATTTTATATGGTTGTGTAATAATCCAAATTCAGAAGGGGGAATATGCTTTAGGGTGAAGGCTCACTTTGTGTTTGCCAGCAAATGTTTAAAAGATTTGTGCAGCAGGGCAGGAAAAAGCACAATGGATGTGAGGTATTGAGAGGTCTGAAGTGTATGCCCACGCATGCTATGAATTCCTCTTCCCCTTTCAAATCCAGATTGTTGTACAGCTTCAAGAGAGGTAATTGAAGATTTGAAATCTTCATTTTTCAGCTGGTTTTTGGACCTTTTTCAGTCCATTTTTGGGGCATTTTCAGCCAGCTTTTAGGCCGTTTTGGATGTTTGGTAGTAGTAAATAAATAGGGAAATTGTATCTTGTTGAGGCCTTTGACTCAATTTCCCTCTCTATTTATTTACTACTACCGAACATCCAAAACGGCTAAAAATGGCAGAAAAACGGCCTGAAAAAGGTCCCAAAAATGGCCTGAAAAACGGGTGGGGGCACGGCCAGCCAGTGATGGGATTAGCCGGTTCACCGAACTGGGCAGAGTTTTAACAACTAGTTCGCCTGAACCGGTCCGAATTGGCTGAATCCCACCTCTGGTCAATACTCTTGGTGGACTTCATAAAGTTGTGGAGAACCGTATAGTAAAAGTATTGCATCACTATCAATACTAAATTGAATTGCCAAGTTCTTTCTGGACTGTTTCAGCAAGATTTTTCTCAGCTTACCTAAATACTTTGTGCCTGTTGGTATTTCAGACTTATAATTACTTTTTGCTTTGGTGAAAGCTTGACTTTTAAGAAAGTTACTGTAGGAGATTCCCAAGCTGTATGTGTAATGATATATGTAATGGCTTGGTTTGCACAATGCCCTGAGCTTCATAAAATAGGTTCATATAAAACATTGAGACACAAACTAGCTAACCACATTGTATCCTAATCTGTTGTATGAACTCAAACGCTCTTGGAATTTTATAGGCTAACACAATATTAGCCTATAATATTGTACCAATTAACTTGATACAATAAACCAAGTTAAATGCTTCAATGTTTCAAAGCACTAGGGGAACAAAGGTGATTCTGGCTTTTTTTTCTACACATGCATAAAACCAGTTATTTCAGTTCTAAATTGTATATTTAGCAAGAACATGCTTTTTCCGTGCCACAAGTTCCTATGAGTCAGTTCACAATTTGATATGGTAGTTTTTATATCATTCATTAATTGGGATTGGTCTATCTGTTCTAGGGCATGCAATTCAGCTTTGAAAGTCTGGGCATGAAAAGATCAGAGATGGATTATATTTACATTTGGGTTTACAAGATGATTCAATGGGCTAGAGCCAACATAAAGTTTTGATTGACCTGGTCTTTAATATTTTAAGATATAAGATAATAAAACGTAACTTACTTTGGTTTGGGTGTACCAAAATCTTTTCTGTACTGGTATGATGACGGGGCAAAATTGTTATTTCCTTTCCTCTCTCTTTCTTTTTCAGCTCATGATAAGTGTTCCCTGGGACACTTATTTTTTTCTGCATACTTCGTCTACTGTCTAAGAAATGAATCTGCAGTTGGTAAAATATCATGCTTACTACCTCCTGTTCAGGGGTGGGATTCAGCTGGTTCGGACCAACTGGATGCTAATTTTACATCTGGTTCGCCGAACTGGTAGTTACAAGGACTGGATGGTCCCGCCCACCCCTCCCCTCAGGAGTCTCCACACAACCCATTTTGGATGCCAGGTAAGTGCAGGGCCTGCACAGAGGCTCTGTGAAGGTGAAAAACAGGCCTCCTGGAAGTGCCGGAAGTCCGGAAACAAACCCTCCCCGGAGGACTTCCGGAGCTCAGGGGAGGCCGTTTTTGCCCTCTTGGAGGCTCGAGGAAAGCCTCCGGAGCCTGGGGAGGGCAAAAAACGGGCCTCCTGGAAGCTCCGGAAGTCTGGAAATGGGTCCGTTTCCAGCCTCTGGAGGGCTTCCGGAGCCCAGGGGAGGCTATTGTTGCCCTCCTGGAGGCTCAAAGAAAACCTCCAGAGCCTGAGGTAGGCCACGCCCACCATGGCCACAGCCACCCAGCAACCAGGCGCAGAACCGGTTGCTAAAATTTTTGAATTCCACCCCTGCTCCTGTTCTTTTCAGTATATAAAACACATAGATTGTGAAGAGGAAGTGTTGTTGGTATTGGAGTTACTTAGAGCAGAGTTCAGACTTGTTCAGAAAAAGAGGAAAGGAAACTGCATAGCTTATTGTTAAACCAATTTAGTTCCCCACTTTTTATGTAATCTGGAAATAGGACAAAGGGGATGGTCAGTTATATAACAACCCCCCACACATCACCAGGTTTCAGAAGGGCCTTAAAAAGACAGTGACAATGATTCAGTATTGATGGGCAAAGAAGGGTAATTTACTAGAATTGTGGAAAAACTTAGATTTTAGTTACGTTGTTTATTTTTATTTGTTTATTCAATTTACTCTCACCGCAATCAAACGACAGTGGATTAAATCAATTTACTTTAAAACATTCATAGTTCTATATATTAAATCAGAGTAAGAAATAAAAAAAATGGTTATTAAAATGACCATATAATGTCACAAACCAAAGCAAGACACAGAACCAATAATTACATTCATAATTCAAAACCTCTTTTAAAAAGTATCAACCTCAGGAGTCTTTTTTTTACAAAAATAATTATCATAATGTTAATATTTCTCCCTTCATACACTCTTTTTTCATCTGCTATCTAATAAACTAGCAAGTACAGAAGAGGGTCTTTAAAAAGATGCTGGAGGGTGATGAAGTCTGTATGTTAAAAAGATATTTGTGCAGATATATTTCAGACTTTTTTCCAGCAGCAAGGTTCCTAGAGTCACTGGGATTGATGTCCATTCCACTTAGTTATTCATAAGAAATTCAGTCTAGTAAAAGGATTTCTATCTTGTTTTTTACCTCTGTAAACACACATTCTTTGTGCTAAAGAAGGGCCTGCACTAGCTACTTACTGGACTGAATGTTGTTTTCCTCTAATGCTGCTTTTGTTTGGATAGTGCAAATCTACAAGATCCAGGCCAAATAGATGTTAAGAATCTTCTAGAAAAGCCCCTCAAGCATAAGAAGCAATTTAGTCCCAGTTTTTTTTCCATAGTAATGTGGTCTTGAACTCCACCCAAATCTTGGGGCTATGATTAAGTGCACCTTTGCTGCCAGCTGTATATTGTTCATTCTTTTCCTCCTGCCACAGAAATAGTGTCATCTTCCTTCTAGTGTCTAGTCCCTGACTAAGGCATTCCAGACTAAGTCTCTTGAAGGAGCTAAAATACAAAACCCTGGTCAAACCCACACTACAAAAATTACATTCAGAAACCATTATTTCCTTAGCTTGCTTAATTTATTCTGGCTCTGGCAGAGCTTGTTGCAATTTTATAGGACATGTCAAATTTTTCAACTTTCGATTTTCAAACATTAGGGGTACTCAAAGGTTTTGACATACCTTGGGGTTTGTAAATATATTTTGGTTATTTTAATATAATTTCGATGTGCTTGATAAAGAACTACATAAATATAACTTTTTAACATTTTGTTTATTTCATTTCACAGGTTCAGCTATCTTTCTCTTTTTGTTAAACGTTATTTTGTCTGAGAGTGTTAATACTGCTGGCCTCGTTTCCTGTGAGAGTGATAACTGATCTGTAATGGATTCTAAAAAAAGAACAAGACTGGGAACATTCATTTATATGAGCAACCTAATTGGGGTTGGCAGAGACTTGTTGCTGTCTGAATTCTCAACATTGCGAGACATTTTAAGATATGGCCGACTGTTAAAAGAACAAAGTAGTGATAATGCTAGAAACTATCCAGCAACCAGTCTAGCAAGAGACATATATCCAAAAGTGCTTGAAAAGTGGGAATGAGCGAACAGTTCTTTTGTTACTCCTGTTGTAAATTCATGGTGACAATCTTGAAAAAGATCCAAGAGAGCTGGGATCAAAAACATATCTCTTGGTAGAGGAAAGCTAGATGTCAAAGAGATTTTCACTGTGTAACTTGACAAACTGTTTGACTTCCACAACTGCAAGTGTCAAATTGTTCTTTGTGCCAAATTCGGCTGCCCTGCTGGCTGCAAAAAAGAAGCTCACATTAACTGTACCTGCCCTGAGAAGACAAAGATACCATTGAAGGAACTTGCTTTCGTTAAAGGTCGGAGAGACAAGAATGGTTCTTTTGGATCGCACCAGATTGATTTGCCAGATGTGCCCGAGCAGAAACAACTAGTCAAAAGGCAAAAGTGATAAGACAATGAGAGACAAAGGCTCGCTAAATATAAGCAGAGAAATATTCCAGACATTTCAATACTGACAAATGAAATAATTATCTCTTACGATGAAAATGGAGGACAGACAATAGATGATGAGGATGAAGAGGAATGTGATGGAAGTTATGAAGATGCTTTAGACCAAACACACGTGCCGTCTACTTCAAAAGAAAAGACAAAATGCAATAGATTAGAAATAACAAAAGTCACTATGCAGAGTAGAGCATAAGATACAGTGTTGGTCTATGTGCCACACCCGCCTTCATAGATGCTGGTTTGATTACCAAAGAAGACAAGAGACTTGTAGTTGACAACAATAAAGTCAAGAGAGCCCAGGAAAAAATTCTGAAGTCCCTAGATCAAGAATTTGATAGACTCTGTAAGAAGGGCAAAATAGAATGCATCTTCTTTGACGGACATATGGTTGCAACTAAAGCAGGGGTGAAATTCAACAGGTTCTGACAGGTTCTGGAGAACCGTTAGCGGAAATTTTGAGTAGTTTGGAGAACCGGCAAATACCACCTCTGGCTGGCTCCAGAGTGGGGTGGGAATGGAGATTTTGCAATATCTTTCCCCCAGAAGTGGGGAGGGGATGGGGATTTTGCAGTATCCTTCCCCTGGAGCGGGGAAGGAATGGAGATTTTGCAGTATCCTTCCCCTGCCATGCCCACCAAGCCATGCCTACCAAGCCACACCAAGCCCACCTAGCCATGCCCACAGAACCGGTAGTAAAAAAATTTGGATTTCACCACTGAACTAAAGTTATGCTGAAAGCAAACAATTCAGAGCAGCAATTCCCCAGTACCATCAAAGAATATTATTCTGTGTGCAGTGAGCCAGGTGGAAGATATCTTTATCATTTCACTCCAGAGAATGGCTCAGAAACAGGAAAACCTGTTAAAGTGATTGCAGATAATCTGGTGTATTTCATGAAGAAGAAATTCATTGGAGGCCATTGGAGGAGATTCTACAAATGTTAATACTGGTTGTGAAAGTGGTGCCATACACTGGATAGAGGTCAAGCTTGACCGGACATTGATCTGGTTGGTGTGTACACTCTACATGAATGAGTTACCCCAGAACACTTAATCACAAAATTGTATGGGAAGACCTTGTCTAACAACAATTGGGCATGTAAAATTGGCAACATGCTAGACACTGTAACAGGACTTGACATTGATCCTTCATTCACCAGAGTTTCAAATGGTGAGCCTCTCATTTCACTGAGCGACAGTGTTGTAAAGGCTCTCTCTACTGATCAAACGTATGGATATAGGATCACGCAGGCAATAAGAACAGGAGAACTTCCCACAAAACTGGCTGTTCTGGAAATTGGCCCCATAAGCCATTCATGCATTGATAACTGCAAATAAACTTTGTTAAATATAGGTTTCAAAACATGGCTTTGGAATACATTGTTGGTGTGTACTACCCTTGTTGGTTCAACATCAAAGTAAAATATTACTGGATTGAAGTCCTGTGTCATGTGTTATTCCAGCTGCAATAAGTCAGACTGCAAAAGAAGGCTGTAGTACATACTGTTTTGCCAACCATTCAGTATGGTATGCTTTCAGTGAAATGATAATCCAGACACTCTTGTGTTCAGATGAAATTCAAGAGAGGAGAGCTGGTGTGCAAAAGATCATTGAGTTGAGCAGTGCGGATGATGACGCACTGGGAGATTTTTCTGTACGTGCAAGAAAAAAGCCTTCAATCAATGCCAGAGCATCCACTCTGGTGGAGCTGATTGACTGGTCTGAAGGTTTATATGAGCCACCTTTGATGTGCAAACTGACTACAGCAGAAATAAAGAAGTTCATTGATGAACCAATGTAAGTACCACAGTGGCCCTGTCATACCCAATCAATAGAGAGATGTGTAAAACAGATCACAGAGGCAGGAAGCAGAGTATATACATGAGAAATGTGAAGGTTATATCAAAGGCCAAGAAGTAAGTCAGTGACTGATATCAAAGAACGATTCAAAACAAAACTTTATGAAACTCAGATAATTACTTTCTGATGTTAATTTATCATTGAATGGATTATTTTTTGCTTAGCTAGATAAGATTCATGCAGAAAAAAACTTTATTTTTTGTAGCACAAGGTGTAATTTTGAGAAGATAAAGTTAACAGTATTTGCATTATAAGAGACTTTTATGGGTTATATGATCAGGTGTGGATTTACTATACCAACCTAAACATTGTACAATTGCAAAAATAACACCAGGTTTGAATTCTTTGTGTAAAAACACATATTTTTAGAATCCCTCACTGAAAAAAATTGCAAAAATTAATTTTCACCGTATTAAATGACACACCCTAAAAGCACACTACCATATCAGGTCCTTCAGATCGGATTCTAAACTGCACTGTTGTTATGAGGGCAAGTCTGCTTCTATTCCATTCAGTTGAGATATTCCGAGAATATTCTGGACGCATCTGCATTACAAGGAAAAAGATTTATTTCATATGTTGGTTCTGCTTAATCCTTCATTGTGTTGTGTTCTTTGTGCCTTGATGAATGGGCCATGAATGCAATACACTTTCAGCAAATATATATTGCATTGAGGTTTTCTGTAACTAAGAGCAAGAATAAATAAACGGTAAGCCAAACAAACTTTAGCATTACATGTGAGGTATATACCATTATCTAAATATTTCTGAACCTGACAGGTACAAACTCATCAGGAGAGCAAATTCAGATGGGGTGGGGTACAACCACAGTTTGGCCCTGAATTAATGAGTCATAATTTCAGATACTTTCTCCTTCTTCCCACTACAGTAAACTCTATGTTTTCGCCACAAATAGTAGCTTCTTCAAAAAGTCGTGCAGACCATATTTTTCTCTTTAAAATCTTACATCATCTTCTGGTAAGTAAAACACAATTCACTGGCTGGTCAAAAGTATCATCAATTTCCTTACAGAACTAGGAGAGGATATGACAGAAATGAAAGAGATATTTAAAATTGTGATTATACAGTATATGCCCATTGAAAATGTAGCACACCCATTCCAGTCTTATATTGTACCAGCTTATTCAGAAGGTCAGGTTGCATAGGATTGCAGCTGTGTTTGAATTTCTATTCACCCTCTTGAAGCCAGCTGGAATTGTATAAGGATCACTTGTGACTGACACATTCTGGTTTCATTTTCAAAAGCAAAATGTGTGTAGGGAAAAATACTCTAGTAAAATTAGCAGCCAGAAAATCACTTCTGTCAAGAAATACGTATAGCTGGAGCTATACAGTTGAATTCTAAATGTATAAATAGTTTTCAGTTCTTGAAAGAAAATTGGTAGGTGAGGCAAATTTTTCAAATACAATTTTTCTACCCTTTTTGCTGAGTGGAGAGACATGGAAACTCCATAAACTTTACTGGCACAAACCTTTAACCTCTTTAGATTTCTATATTTAGTTTCACAGAACATAATATTCCAGACAGTGTTTCACTCCTATTAAGCAAAGCATTTGGGTAGAAGCTTGAATAATCCTATTGCTGGGTCTCAAATCTTTAAGCATTACCAATGCACAAGATCATTTTCAGTTTGCACTTTATTGACTACTCAGGTAAGTCCTAAGATAGCTCTGAACATCCCACAGACCTCTTGATATATAAAATTTACCTACTTATTTTAATTTGTCTAGATTATTTTCAGTAACTTAATAAATATGGGCTAGTTTCTTTTTAATTATTTGAAACTAAAAATGAGGGAGTATGCCTCTGTCTCACTAGTTTTCTATTTATACATGATATTGGAAACTTGTGACCATAGTAATGATATTTCCAAATCTAAGGCCTTATATGAAAAGTTGAGGCATTTCTTATAAATATAAGCTGATGTTCTTCCTGTACAGTGCACAGTATTCCTCGCAGAAAGTTTATTCATTTTAAGCCTAACTCAAATAATATGACTGGGCAACCTACAACAAGAATAAGCATTAACAAAAAAGAAATAACCATACATCATCAAAAAATGAAGTCCAAGCTCACCAAGGAGTGATGTGTTTACCCAAAAATAAAAACTGAGTCTGACCTATGACCGGTCCTGGGGATTGTCCCTGCAATAAACTGAGTCAAATCCAGCGGTGAAATCTCCCTGGTTCTATCCGGCTTGCTGAACCAGTAGCTGCAGCGGCGGGAGGTTCCACCCACCCACCGAGACATCATTACACCCCGTTTTTTTACCATCTGCAGGTTCTACACATGTGCAGCAGAGGCGCACGTGCGCATAGTGCGCTCATGCTCCCATGAGCTCCCATTCCTGAACCAGTAGCAAAGGTAAGTGGATTTCACCGCTGGTCAAATCCCAGGTGGTCCCGAACTCCTACACTGCCTCTTAAGTCTGTCCCCAAAGATTAAAGTCCTCCCAAATCATAGATCTGAGGGACTTCATTACAAATCCAGAGGTGGCACTGAGCAGAGCAGACAGGGAGGCAGCCAAGTAGCAGGGAGGTGTGTAAACAGTGGTGGGATTCAATTTTTTTAACAACCGGTTCTGTGGGCGTGGCTTAGTTGGGGGTGTGGCTTGGTGGTCATGTGACTGGATGGGCGTGGCTAGCTGGTCATGTGACCAGGTGGGCATGGCTATGTGCATAGGGACTACTCAGAGGGCTGAAAAAAGTCATTTCTGACTGGTCTCTGCACTTATGACCATCCTCACATTTATGCCCGTTGCGGCATTCTTAACCATGTCAGTCATTTCACCACTACTTCTCTTCACCACGGTGACAAGATAGGGCGTAAAACGTAAAATGTGAGGACAGTCGTAAGTTCAAGGACTGGTCAAAAGTGCGAGGACCGGTCAAAAATAACTTTTTCAGCCTTCTGACCAGTCCATATGCACATAGGGACTATTCAGAAGGCTGAAAAAAGTCATTTCTGACTGGTCCTCACATTTTTGACCGGTCCTCGCACTTATGACCTTCCTCACATTTATGCCCGTTGCGGCATTCTTAACAACTGTGTCAGTCATTTCAAAACTACTTGTCTTCACCACGGTGACAAGATAGGGCGCAAAACGTAAAATGTGAGGACAGTCGTAAGTTCGAGGACTGGTCAAAAGTGCGAGGACCAGTCAAAAATAACTTTTTCAGCCCTCTGAGTAGTCCATATGCACAAAAGGACTACCCAGAGGGCTGAAAAAAGTGATTTCTGACAGGTCTTCACACTTTTCACCAGTCCTCACCCTTATGACTAGTCATCATTTATGCCCATTATAGCATTCTTAACAACCGTGTCACTCATTTCACAACTGCTTCTCTTCACCATGGTGACAAGATAGGGCGAAAAATGTAAAATGTGAGGACAGTCGTAAGTTAGAGGAATGGTCAAAAGTGTGAGGACCAGTCAAAAATAACTTTTTCAGCCCTCTGAGTAATCCATATGCACAAAGGGATACAGCAATAGAGAGGGATGAAGGAAGGAGAAGAGAGATAGAAGAAAGAAGGAGAGAGAGGGAAGGAAGAGAAGGGAGGAAGGAAGGGAAGGGAAATTAGAGTAGGAGTGAGGTAAGAGAGGGAGGAAGAGAGGAGGAGAAGGAGAAAGGAAGAGGAAGTAGGGAGGAGAAGAAGCGGGGGGGAAGTAAGAAGGAAAGAAAAGAGAGAGGTGGTAGGTTTGAGGAGAAAGATTGTTGTACAGTAAAAAAGATGAAATGGAAGAAAGGCAACCCCAAACAAATATAATGATATTAAGATAAAGAATGAATTGTTAAACTTTAAAGAATAAAAGAGAACAAATGTGAATAAATAGCAATAATTAGAAACACACATACAAACATACAATTTATTTTCTTTGAACAGAGTATTTGGCCGGTTCACAAATTTAAACAGTATTTAGTCATTTCAATTAAATTTACAATTTCTATATTTCCTTTTTGCCATATTTATTCCTCATCTATTTTTTTAAAAAAAAGAATATTACCCTTCATCCTCATCTCTAATCTTAATCAAATTCAATTTTTCCCTTCTATTCTATATTATACCCCTTCCCATTGTCATCTATTTTTATATTCATCCTCACACTGGTTAATTATGTAATATTACAGTTGCTTAATATAAATTCAACATTTTAATATAAATCAATTAGTTATATAACTATCTTTTTTGTATATTAATCAATATGAACATGAATATTCCAATTATTTCCATGCAATCCAATTTCTTACAAATCAATTAATTATATTTACCAATAATAATAAACCAAATAATTTGCCCCATATATTCCTCCAAACCACAACTTAACCATTTCTGCTTTCAACACAATATACAATTAATAGTATCTCAATTATTACAATTCCCTAGTTAAATAGAGCTTTTTTTCTTTTGTGTTTTAAAATCTTGAACTCTCCTCTTTTTCCCTAAATTTCCCATTGTTTGCATCTACCTTTTTTTTGTTGGAAAAAGAAAAGAAATCTGCCTGCCTAATTTTCCAACGTTGTAGCAACAGCAAAGCCAACAGCCTGCTTTATTTTCAGTTTCGTTTTTCAGCATAGCTAGGGGAAAAAAATCTGCTCCAGCACTCTTTGCAAGCAAGCAGCAGAGCCCAGAGCAAAACAGCTGAGAGCAAATCAGCTGAGAGCCGGGAGGCCGATCTAATCAACGGGCTAATTAGCCTATGCTGAAGCTCCGTGGGCCAATAAAATTACAAAAAAACACCGAACCGTTTGTTAATTTGCTGGCTCACCCGCCCCTCGCCCATCACTATTTATTGGCAATAAATAGTGGTACGGAGGGGCGGGGCAAGGGGCGGGATGAACCAGCAATTTAACAAACGGTTTGGCCGAACCGCCTAGAACCGGCAAAATCCCACCACTGTGTGTAAAGTAGCAGAAGTCAGTCTTAAGACCCAGTCTCACCATTGTGACTCAAACACAGTTGTTTGTAGATCAGCTCCTGCAGATCTTAAGAAAAAAATAGGCATTCTCCACTCTGGCTTAGAGTTGCAGTTTGGTACCCCTTAGGCATGTTTCAGAGTAAGCCACCCCCTACTCTTTGCCCAGCCAGGTCTTGATAATATATGTTAGGTCAGTCATCTTATGTAGGATGAAATAAGCAATAGAACTCTCTGAGCAGTTTATAAATATCAGCATATTACCCCAACAGTCTAGGTCAGTGATGGCTAACCTTTTTGCCATCGCGTGCCAAAAGTGAGGGGAGCGCAGGGGTGTCGCGCGCACGTGTGCCCACACCCATAATTCAATGTGCCCTGCCCCCGTGCATGCACATGTGACACCCCCTCCCTGTGTGACCCCTGCTTTTGGCATGCGATGGCATGGTGGGCACGATAGGCCTGTTTTTCGCCCTCCCCAGGCTCCAGAGGGTTTCTTGGAGCTTGGGGAGGGCGAAAACAGCCTTCCCCATCCCCCTGGAAGCTGGAAACGGCCCATTTCCCAACTTCCGGTGAGCCCAGAAGGCTCGAAAATCAGCTGGCCAGCGCACGCATACGCTCTGGAGCTGACCTAG